TTTGTAAAACGTGTTGTCGTAAATAATGTATGTAACTTTTATTGTGTAATGTCTTTATATGACGTTCTAATGATGATATTTTTACTCAACATATATAAGTATATATATATATATAATTATATATATATATATATATATATATAATAATTGATTCAGCTTTAATAACAACGCATTGCACATTGTTATTGCACAAATATATATCTCTTTACTGTCAACAGTTTTTTTATTTAATACGGTAACTTTTATACTGTCTGTAAAATAATGTTTACACACATTATCTGTGTATTGCGTTACTGAAATCATTTTTTTTTAAATTTAAGTAAATGTTTTACTTTGTCGCAAACATTAGGCGCTTATATGATTTTCTCCGTCAACCGTCAAAACAAAAAGATAAAATAACTAAGTAGTATAGCAAAGAACAAATTGGAGCGTTCTCCGTCAGATGGATAGATGGACAAGAGTAGCCGAAATCGGGTTTAAAGCCGAAAAGCCCCTAATGGAAATCGGGGAATTCCCGGGGCGCGGATGATGAGGATGAGAGAGAACGGCAGTTGTATCGACCGATACGAAAGGGCGGCGAAGGGAGAGACTCTCGTAGTAGCAGTGGGGGATGCTGCGCGGTTTAAGGGTGGACGCACGTTGCCCCTGGCAACCTTTCCGCAGCATCCCTCCTAGATCGCTACCGCCGCCACCGCCGCCGCCATCGACGACTTCCATGATCATTGTGTCGTCGTTGTTGCGCATCCGCCATTATTTAGGATCGATATCTCGCACCGACATCTCGTTTCTTGATTTGTCGTGATTTCTGTCAAAATATATATATTTTGTGTGCGTATAATATGTACATATGTCGGTTTGTTTCAAGAGAATTCTGGAATCTGATGAATCCGAATCCAATTTTTACTATTTACTTTTATGCAACAAAAGGATACGTATATGATATACAATTCTAATATTAAACAAATTATATGGCATCCTTAACACTCTCTCTTGAAGTCGATAGTCCGCCACAATTCTGAGAATTGATATTTTTAAAGATCTGAGTTTTGTAAAGTAATTGAGAAAAATTTTCTTTGTTCAAAAAGTTGACATTTAAAAAGATATATTGTATATAGTGTGTCTGTGTGTGTTGTGATAATGTTATTACAAAACTTTCTGTGATACTGAAGCGAGAAGAATCTATTAATATTGACCATATAATGTAGAACGATAGAGACAAATAAAACTTTTTGAGCACGAAATGCAAAATTTGTTGTGTATCTTTACTTCTTAAAAAAACATCAAATCCTAGATATCATTTATACCTATAAATCGTTTTAGCGTTGTATTTAAATATTTAATAATATAATAGATAATGTTAATTATATTTTAGAAAACTTGTTTTTAGAAACTTTCTCTTTCTCTCTTGATTTCATAAGGAAAACTGGAAATATTATACAACAAAACTTTTATTTTACGAAAAGTTTAAAGTTTTTCTTATTGTTATTTTACTAAATGTATAATATAATTCAGTATATTACTTTCTTTGTAGAATGATTTATCACGAAACTATATTTATTATCAAAAAAAACTACGATTCATCATTAAAAAATCAACTAAAAATCATTTAGAATTGCTTTTTAATTTTTTGAAACAAATAAAATACATTTATTATTATTTTGTTTCTGACGAAAAAAGTCGTCATAAAATATAAAAATAGTTGCACGCGCGACGAGTGTAATTTAATTAAGATATAAGCATAAAGGTTTTGTTGGCATATTCATCTATCCTAATAAAAAGTTATAGATTTGATTATTTATTTCTTCTTCCAATTCTATTATTTTTCTCGACAAAAACTCAAGAAACTAACTTAAACGACGGAAAGATTGTTGTGCGAAAAACTAATATGTTGATTGCTCATTCTTCCTCTTCTTTTTTGCGTTATTCCCTCGTACAGTGCGTAAGAAAAACGCGGCATATCGCGTGCCGTAGAGAAAATTTAATCTTCCTCATTTATGAATATCGCCCCTGTAAATCATACAGTTCGTTTTCGAAGAAAACTGCGCGATTGTTTCCAAAAAGAAGACAGGGGATTGTATTATTAGATAATGTTATTTTACGTATGAATTATTATTGCGCACTTGACGCAGAGGTTCTGTCAGTAAACATCGCACACATCCAGGGCTTTCAGAAGAGAATAACAATTATATATTGCCACCTGTTGCAAACCTTATATAATTAACGGCAATCTGAATTCGACAACGCTCCGGCGAATATCAGGCGGTAAATGTAAATCATTGTGGAACTATGTTTAAAAACATAGTGCTCTTGGAACTGTAGCGTTTACTAACAACCGATATTTTAGTAGAGTTAAACAATGTACAAATTATCAGGAATTATCAGAAATGAGAAAAATCCAACAAACATTTCAAATAAATAAAAAAAAAACAATCGCTGTAAAACGTAACGGTAGTTTGTATTCACGTGCCTTTTCTCGACAATAATAACTTATCACACTCGGAGAAATGCTTTACTTTGCGCACATCACTTGTTGCCTCAAAAGGTGGCAATCTACTTTAAAGGATCACCATTATTGCTCGAAAAGGAGCGCTGTTCCGCGAGATCCTTGTTATTCTTTGCGACCGTTGACGGCCAAAAGTAAGAGGTCCGCCATTTTCAGCTTGAGATTCTTCCGGCGACCGTGTCCCGTCGCAACGACTTTTCCCGCCCCCTGTTCGATCCTCCTCTGAATGCAATAAAGAAATTCAGATGAAGGTCACTTTGCCAATAGGAAGACGAGGGAAGATGTGTGAGGAGGATTTGTGCACGCGAAACGGTAGGAGGGCGGCGTAAGTTTTCACCCTTCGCGACCCCTTCCTTCTGTGCCTGGCCTGTATCGGAAGGCCTGACTTCCATTCAAGCGATATGTTCTTAGGTGGTGTGACTTCGGTAGATCGCAATCGCGATGATTGGGTGTTTAACGCGATTATTGACTCTTTGCTCGTGTTGATTTTGTTTGTTTTTTTTTTTTTATCGCGGGACGACATTTTTTCAAAGTAACAAACACGATTCCTAGTAATTAACAATTCGAAGAATTATTTGTTGTAAAATTTAAAATATTAGGGCAAGTGATGCTTTTAGTGTTGTAAACACAACAAGAAGCGTAATATCTTCTAAATTAATAATTAAAAATAATATCTCGCAATTATCTATAATTGACTTAATTAGACTGTAGACACAAATCTACACACAACATCTCGCGCGAGAAGTGAGAGAAATTTTAGATAAGAAGTGACAGCGGGGGGGGAGAAGACGAGGCGAGGTGCACTTTATGAAATTGCAATGGGTATAATCACATATTTCTTTCACAAGTCGAGACGTTTAATTCGAACGTAACGGTATGTCGTCGCGAAGAGCGAAGTACACAAAGAAAAAACAACTAAAAAAAAAATATAGAGAGAACGTAAATGAGATAAACAGAAAAAAAGAGAGAAATAAACTAAGATGGCGAGGATAAATAGAAATGATGAGACGACGCGAGCGAATAAAAATAAAAGAACGCGCAGTAATTTCAAGAACAAAATTATTTTCATTCGAATAACTTTTAAAAAGAGAATCTCACAGAGCTTATAAACAAATTAAATTAAAACAGCATGAACTCGAGTGCACGACGTGCAAGATGGAAAGCAATGAGAGCAAGAAAAGTGCACGGCAAGAGAGATACGGAAGCCTCAAATATAATAAGAAAACAGGAGAGAGAAAGAGAGAGACTCGAACGCCGAAGGAATGGAAAGAAAGATGAGCATGGAGAAATAATCATTTGCCACACTCCGGAGAGAAGAAGGAGAAAAGGATAGGAACCTTCGTTTCCGTTCTCGAAACAAGCGCGATGTCAAGAAAGCATCGCGCGGAGCGCAAAATTATACAAATGAGAAATACGTTTCGCGCAATAATCGCGCAAGAAACGTAATCGGAGGAGGTTGACGGAAGCGAGCAGCGCGCGGGAGAGAGTTGGCGAAAAAGGGCGACGGGGAATGGTGGAGTGACGAGATACGGAGCGAGATCAATACGGGGGGTCGCTAGGCAACGAGCCTCCGGCGATCTCGGTCCGGGTAGACAGGGTGCCGCCGCGCTGTAGCCGCCCCGCCGACCTCCTCGCCCAACCCCCTGTAACCCTCGCGCACCCGCTCTTACCGCCACTCCCGCGAGCGCCACATCCCACATAATAAATACCGGCAACTGTGCAACACGGCGCACGGGATAAGCGCCGGCGAAAATTTCGCGCTCGCGACAACGAAAAACGAAATCAACTCGAATTCTCGATCGAGAATTCTCGACTGATTTAGGTAAAAGTTTAATTAACAAAAATAGAGTTATTTTGAGAGTTGTTTCTTTTTTTTTCTAGTCGAAGAATATAGTCCAGTCTCTCTGTAAAAAATCTATTCGCTGATTTTATCTAGTAGCAAAAAGTTTGTGCTGTTTGCGAGCTTATTTTACGCGACGAGTCCTTTTGACTTTGACAATAATATTCGAATATTTTATACGAAGAGAGAAGGTTCTGTGCGTCGCGTTCGCCGGGATCGATATTATCGTAGATTATTCGGATTATTGACATAGCATGTCTCAGTAGTGCTCCGCAGAATCCGTTTCTCCAATATTATGTATGACGTGAGGTACAGATTGTACGACGACGTTTCTGAAAATGTTCGAATCCGGAGAATATTACAATGATCGCGAAGAGCTTGCAATGCTTCCAATGAACGAGTTTAGCTTTTTGAGTTCAATATTGTACGATTTTTATAAATTATGCAAGTGGAGAAGGAGCTTAATGATGAAAAAACATCTCGAATTTTAAAAATCCTTCTCTCGTGAACTTTACGTGAAATAAAGTTAGGATGTTATATTGTAGGTAAATGAAAAAATTAAATTTTTCAACGTAAGTGTTCTTTTTCCAAGTAAAACACTTGGAATCGTTAAAAAGACATTTATTTTATTTATTAATTTTTTTGTTTTTCAATCTCATTATTCCGACAACGCGCACAGTATCGCGGTGCCCCGCAGGATCCAGTGTTTCGGCGGATGCGACGACGGCAGCCAAATCGCGATAACGAAATTGGTCGAATGACCGGTGGTGGAAAGAACACCTTTTCTCTCGCTCGTCTTGTACACGGGACACGTGTACGTGTCCTTGACTTGTACTCGATCCTTCGTTACTGGCAACATCCAGATCTGAAACGAATAGACGTCGCTATATTTCGAGAAACACCGTGAGACGTAAACTTATCGCGCGTTTGCTCTCTTACGTAAGGCACGGTGTCGTAAAGAATTTTCGGAAAGGACTCGTCGAGCTTCATTGTGCTCATATTGAAGCGCGCCCCGTCGAGAAATAGTCCGTAAACGTACACTCCGTCGTCCGGCGGATTTTCGAAAACGACGTCTTTCAACGGAAAAAAATCGTAGACGAGCAGGTCGATGGGGATGGAATATTTTCTCGCGTAATTCTGACGAACTCCCGTCAGAAACGCTTGTGTGAAGTAGAAACCGGAGATCCAAAATGACGTAGGCGCTCCTGAATCGTACCAAGTCTAAAAAACACACTCGCTTTACATTCAATTTTCTGCTACGCGAAATAAATCAAGAAAAATTAATATACGTAAAGAATATATTTCAAAATATTACTTGAAGAAAATTCAGCCTCTTTAGAAAATCGTGTATGTAACTTCCAAGCGGCTTCAGAGATGGATAAGAATTCGTCATCCACATCTGAGGTATTCTGCCAACGATGATTGACGAATACACTTCCTCGAGACTGAGATCCATGATCACCAAACCTGACGAGTCAATAGAAATCTTTGTGAGATATCACGCGCGGAAAGACGCCTTGTTTGTTTGTTTGTTTTTACCTTTGATCGCTTTTTGGATGTTCACGAGACTGCTTCTGATAGTCCGCAGCAGCTTGTTGAACCTGTCCATCTCTTGAACCAGCACGGTATTCATGCTTTGCTCGTACAACGTAGGATATTTGTTCAAGCTGGCCACTAGGTCGAAGTCTTGCGGCAGCATCGACAGGATGTCGGACGAAATGCCGTAAACAATTTCATCCGGCGATTTCGCGGCGTCCGCGTCCGTTCTTCCGGTATCCTCGAAACAAAAAAGAAAAAAAGAACATTATGAAGAATTCTTACTTTTTTCGCAGTATTTTTTAATACTTTTCATAAAATCAAAATGTTCCGCCAACTTCTCTGCGTTAAATGATAAATTTCCTATTAGTTAACACATATAACTAAAAAAAACATTGTGCGGTAAATTCAAATCGACAGAGGGATGAAAACTCGAGGTAATGCAACTTTGATTTTGTTAAATTTCTCTTTTTAATTCTTACTTTTTTTTCATTTAATTTAATTTTTATTTTTTTCTCTTTAACGAAAAACAAAAAATAAACTATAAAAACACGATGAAAGAGAATTGCTTTCGACGATCGAATAAATTACCTGCGTGCTCAGAACGGAGGACAACATGAGGTAAGTTTCTTGCTGGTCCTTGATGATGTCGGCGTTCTCGTGCATGCCGAAGACACTAGGCGCGGTGGTCATCGGCAATTCTCTCACGTAATCCAGAAATTGACTATACTCGCTGACCGGCGGTACGTAATAAAGACCGCTTGGATCGAATAGATATTCTCGGTCAGTCGCGACCACGTCGTCGTGATAGAACTGCGCCAGAATCGTATTCAGGGTCCGTCGGTCCCACTCGTCGGTCACGCGACCGCCGTAATTGCATTCGCCTTCGAAAAACAATAATTACACGAGCGTTAAATTATTAATTTAATCGCTAATTACGGCTTCCGATATATATTTCTTTCATAAAATTCACCTCGGTGTTTGCTTACGTCTCCGAGTTTAATTTTTATTGTTTGTTTAAAAAATTAAAAGAAATATATATCTAAAAGTGAGTTTAATGTTTTAAATCTTCGCGAGAGCAACCGTACAAAAGTTCGAATTACCCGTTAGATACTTGAGCGCGGTAAACTGAACGTCGTCGTACTGATCGAGGAAGATTTTCAGCTGCAACACGCTGACGCGCAAATCCGTCTCGTTGAACTCGTACTGATTGTTCCAACCGATCGGTCCGAACTTCCGGCGCTCCTGCACGATCGCGTGGAAGAAGCAGAGCGAAAACAACAGTCGCTTGAAATTCTTGTTCTGCCTCGACGTGTTGAAGAAATCGGGATCGCATATCGGATCCTATCGGGATGTTTGATCCGAACGTTTTTTTCTCGACATTAAAAACTCTGTTTTGCTTTTTTGAATAAAAGAAAAAAACAATTCTACTCTACCTGATTGAAGGATCGCAGCATGTTCGCGCGCAACCCTTTCGGGGGCTCGTTTGTCATTTTTACCCCGTTCTGCAAAACACTGATCGGGAAGTGCTCGAACGGATAACTCGTCAGCCACAATCGAAAGTCGGGATGCACCGTTTCCCTCGTAAAACTCTCGCATATCTAAAAGAATTGTATTTATGGATTTCTTGTGATTTTTATAACAAAACACGAGAGAGTAAAAATCAACTTTTTCCAAAACGGGCATGAAACTCTTGACAACGTGACAATTTTGCAACACCACCCAGGTTCCGTTTTTCACACCCTCGTCAATGAGAGCCTCGGCAATAACGCCCTGTCCTTGGCCCAGGGATAACGAGAACAGCCTGCTGGTACCGAAACCTTGATCGTCGGCAAATTTCAATAGAATCGCCATCGGATCCGCACCGGGTGTCAGAACAAATATTAACGGGATGCAAGAATGTGAATCCGCGTAAGAGGCCACCAAATCGAAAGGCGGTGGTTCGATAAATTGTCGTCCCAATTGTTCTATCGGAATAATTAATTTAAGATAAATCAATCGTTAACAAATGAGTTAAATTTTTATTTACTTTATTTTAATTTCTTCGTATATTTTTTTTGTGCAAAAATAAAAAGACAAAAATATAAAAGACAAAAAGAAGAAAGAGATAATATAGTAGGAAATAAAAATTGACAAATAACTGTTTTTTCTTCTTTCTCTTCTCGAACGATTTTTTACCTTCTACGAATAATTGCGCCGACGGTACGACCTTGTCGGGACGTATGCAACGAAGTACCAGCATTCTTTCAAAGCGGCTCAGTTCGTTCCAAGGCGCGGGAAAAGAGATAATGTGAGGCTCTCTGTGATCGAACACCTTCTTCCACTCGTCGATATTTCTCGTGTACGAGTTCTTTATTCCCTGGACGATAAAGCACAAATGGAACACAATTATTATACTAAATTGCGCGCTACAGAAAAACTTTATTACAATCTGTTTACAAATGCATTTTACAAATCCTCGTAAAAGTATTTTATCGCTTTTTGAGGAAAAAAGGTGAAAAGCAAAAATTTTATAAATTTGTAGAAATTGTTTACAAAAAACAAATCATATCGTATATTATATTTTTCCTCTGGAATTTTATTTATTAAATAGAAAAACTTATAATTTGGTGAAGTTTACCGAGAATCCTGGCACGTCGTCCAATCGGCACAGCTCATCCCAAGATCTCGTCGGTAGCCATTCGGTTGGATTAACAAAGGGATTCTCCAGGCTGACGCCGCCGGTCAGCAGAAACATCCACTGGGCCATCGAGAGCTGGCTCTGCTTGTTCAGCAAGTTCACGGACAACAGAAGCGAGAAGAGCAGTTTGTCTTTCTCAAAGAGCGAGCGGCATATGTTGACGTATAGGGAATAGGTGAAGCATCTGGTGAGGTCCTTCAGACGCTGCTTTATGTCCGCTACCTGCGGCGTGTTGTCAATCGTATTCTTGAAAAGATTGACGAACCAGACGAGAGAGTATTGGTACATCGGATCGATATTCGCCAACATGGCTGCGATAAAAAATTTTAATGAACCTAGTATTGTCGATAAAAACTGTCGTTCGCAAAACTCTTGCAAAAAAATGCGATTTAAAAACAAATTTATTGTAATATAAAAAAAAGATGTATATGTATATATTTTATATCAGATATAATTCAAATAACAATTTTTCTGAATATAAATAAATAGTTATATTATGGCAGTAGACAAGTATAATACTTTTCTTTTTTTATTTTTACTCACCAATTGTGAAGAAGAGAACAGTGGTGTAGACTGCAATCGGCGTGTATTGCAATCTTGCGGCGTCAATGGATTTTTCGGTGACCTCGGCCGCAGTTTGTTTGATCTCGATCTCATTGGCCAAGTTCTTTGAGGAACTCAACACGTTGATAGCCGTTTCGTCCTCGAGAATATTCTCCTTCGACTTCGACAGCACCTCCAAAATCTTGTTCTCTATTTCTTTCAACATTCTGTGAAAAAAAAAGAAGAACATTTTTATTATCGGCTTATCGAAACAATAATCATCATTTCGAAATTGTGTCAAACACTCATTATATCGATTACTTTTTATTATCCGCGCTCTGAATTATTAATTGATTCTTCTCGGATTCCAAGTCGGGTCTTTCCTTCGCGACAACTATGCCCAGAAGCTGATCGTCCAGACCAATTGGAGTGATCATGAAGTTTAACAGAGTCACTTTCACCACCACTTCTGGTAGATAATGCGGATTTCGCAATTTTGTAGTGATGTAAAACCTACATGAGTCGCGAGTGTGTTTTCATTAAAACATTTTTTTTCAGTTTTTAAAAGAAAAATATACACACACCTCAATAATCACATTGTTATCGTTTAACGTAATTATAATTAGATATTTTATAATATTCAAAACTATTATCCAAAATTCCACTTTCACGCACGTACCGAAATTTCTCGGAGTACTCAATAATACTGTCGCCGATCTTGATGCAGAGCGCACCGCCAGATCTGAAGGTCTGTTTCATAAGCAACGGCTCTAGGATTGCATTCAGTTCCTCGCCAATGTTTTCCAGCAACACCGGCTGTCCGAATTGCACGGCGTTTTCCAGAATTCTCACATAATCCGGTTGCGTGAGTCTAATCACGCTTAAGTTCGATGCTTTCTCCATGTTTTTTATCCACTTATTCGCCTGACCTTGTGGATCGATCATCAGCGGCCAGCGACGTGAATTTGTGACGATGATGCCATTGTCGATGGAGAACAGGTCATTTGGCAGACCGAATATGTTCCAGGACCGAATGAGCACCGGATCGCCCAACACGTGCGTGAGTTGGAAGTCTTGGGTGCAGATAACCTTCAGATTCGTGAGCGTTCGCACCCAGTTTTCCACCTGTCGTTGGCGATATTGCATCGTGAAAACGCCGAGATAAGCCACTATTCCGGCACCGATCAGAATATCACCTGTTAATCTGTGATATTTTTCTCCAAGCGATCTAGAGCGTTATCAAAAATAATAATAATAATAATAAAATGTAACAACCAAGAAAATATATAATAATGCATACCCTAATAGGCAAATTGTGAAAATATTGCACAAAAATTCATGAATAACGACGATGCTGCAATGATTGCACTAAGATGATTCGCCATAACGCAACAGTTTTTTCGAAATAAAATTTTGTAAATAATAATTAATAAAGACTTAAGGCTCGTGAAATTTAAACCAATGAATGAATATAAGGCCTTACGAGCCGTTCTCAAAGTGTTGAGCGAGAACTTATACATGTATATATATATATGTATACACATGTAACGAATTCACTTGTAAATTTTTACAAGTGAGTTTTTCGAATTGAAATCTCAATTCTTATTTTAATAATTAGTTAGGGGGGTATCCGGGGTCTTTCATATGTGAGATGCAAATCTAGCATCCCGTATGATTTTAAGAATTGAGATTTCAATTCGAAAAACTCACTTGTAAAAATTTACAAGTGAATTCGTTACATGTGTATACATATATATATATACATGTATAAGTTCTCGCTCAACACTTTGAGAACGGCTCGTAAGGCCTTATATTCATTCATTGGTTTGTAAATAATATTTGTCAAAAATTGAAAAAGAGTCGTTATGCATTTCCATAAGTATATACATGAATTAAGTTGATTTCTTCATATGCAATTATATTTCTCTATATATTTTAAACATCACATAGCTGAAATTTTTTTCTCAATTATTGGACAATTTCTTTTTGAAATTAATTTTGCAAATATACTGCTAAGATGATTCACCATAACGTTATTCTTTTGCCGAAATAGTATTTGGAAAGTAATTTTGCAAACAACTACAAATATTTTATAAAAGATCAATGTACACATCTATTTCCTAAAATATACCTATATAATTGCAAATTGCAATTTTAGTGCAAAATTTCGTTACATAATTTTGTAAATGTTTTTCTATCAGAGTAGTGTTTTTAAATTATAAAAGTAGTAATGAAATGACAAGCGTTAATGAAATATATAATTACTTAGCCGTCTCAGACCATCTGGTATACTCGCCACCAAGACCTCCGATTAATTCTTCGGCTCTTCTCAACTTTTCTTCGCAATCTTTTACTTCGTCGGTCATTGTCTTGTATTCGGTTCTTCGTTTTGCCAGCAGTGTTTCAAGTCTGGCCAGTCTCTCTCGCAGTTCCCGCAGCTGACTTCTTTTCAGTTCTAGCTGTTCCATTGCCAGGGCGTAGTCACGCTCGGCTTGGGCCAGAGCTGCTCTCTTCGGGGCCACCACTTTAGCAACCTTGTCGTACTCGGACAGAGCAAACACCCAGCGACAAAGACCTTCGCAGGCAGTCGAGACTTGCCTGATGCGTTCCGGATCGAAGTTCGGATTCGTCAAAATTGTCGTGCGGATCTTCGTCATAATTCGCTCGGGAATGTTATCCTTGTCGTAATTCAGCAGCGACTCCAAAAAGTGTATGTCGCCGAGAATGCGCAGCGACGGCTTCCAGTAATCGTCCGCTATGCCTTCCGGAGTTTGCACTTTTTCTGGTTTTATATCCTACGAATTTTTCGGAGCAAAGATTTATGGAAAATAAAACTTAAAAAGCAAATGTAACTTGTTATGTATAATTTATACCTTTAGAATGCAAACTGCTTCCATGACCAAACGCACGCCGGCCGGCGGACGTTTCATAGACTTAACGATCTGAATGTCCTGGGGAGTCAAAGTATTTAAAGCGGCATTTGCCGCTTCGAGTATCGGCATGACTTCCTGAAGATCCGCGTCGCACTCAGCGCGAATTACTTCAGCTCCCGCGGCAACAATCTAACGTTATTTATGAGCAACAATTGAATAACAATAATTTATATAACAATACATAATAATTTATATAACAATATATTTAATCACAATATTACAGAACACACAATATTTAATCGTTATATATATAGAAATATTATGTAGGCCATTAATTAAAAACAAAAAACGACCTAACAGCTGTAATCTACCGATAATGATTAATTGTCAAATAAATTACAGTTTGTATGATAAAAACGTGTTA